ACCAGTGATAGCTGACAGGGGCGGGGCTCTACCGGAGGACAGGATTGATGAGTTTCAGCACTACTGTGCCACGAGGCGAGCACCACCAATGGCAGACCAGATAAGGCTGCGGCTACAAGAATGGTTTGCCGATGTTTGAAACGGACTGGAACTGGGTTATGAGCTCTATCTGTCTGTCAGTTTTGTAGATTTAACGTAATCGAGCTGCTCACGAGGTGTAGAGCTCTCAAGACCTACCTAACAACAGGAACTGAAGCACGCGGTTTTCCGGCAACTTCGCGCTCTGCGAATCTACACACATGTACTTGCATACCCGAACTAGCCGAGCGCCGCCGCTACGCGGCGGTAATTTCGGTTTTACTCCAGATTTTTGCCATATGTACGTAAATCGACTTCTTTAGTTTCATAAATCTGCGTTTCATTTGCTACAAAATGCTGAGTTCCCAGTAAGCCGTGTAAATATTTCTACCGGTACAAAAGAGTGAGCCCCTAGCATCATACTTACCATGCTCATAAACGATTACGCTAGTGATTTTGGCAAAGTCTCTTTATTGTTGTTGGCTATCACTGTACCTTCATCTTCCACCCAGAAGCACCTGCACTTCAGTCTAAAACCGCTAAATAAAATATTTAGTTTAGCGTCGTGCTCGATTTCACGGGCCGTTTCTGAAACCTAGATTGCATCAATGCAAAGAATATCTGTCCAGCTTGCATCACATACCCGCTTGTACTGCCTGGTTAAGCTTGTAATAAACTGCCTATTAACCACTTCGCAAACCAAACTCGCTACTTTGAAAGAAAATTAAAGTGTTACAGTTTGAATATTTAATAAAAATATTCAAGCTGTAGCATTTTTTTATGCCTTGAAGTGTGTTCATTTTGTGCTGATTCAGAATTAGTCATTAGACACTCAATCTGTGCCTGTTATGCTTATAGCCTTTGAATATAACCATGCGTCGCAAGACGCCTTGCTGTTGTTGTTGTTGACGGCGGTATTTTTATTTGATACTTAATTGATGATTCCAAAATATTAGGCTCTAAGTTGATTAACGTTTCTTTACGGGCCTTCTTATAATAACCAAAATTGACACCTCTCATGTTGTGCTGTTATCTTACCACTGCATATAAAACCTTATTTTACGCCCTTGTCGGCAACGCGTCTACCTATTAAGAAGTATCAGAATTTTGTTGTCTAAAAAAACGCTAAGGAAACAATGGTCAAGTTCAATTCGCTTACAGTAGTAATTGTCATCAGCACATATAACTTCTTTTTGTTCACACGTCAATCTAACACTATATATCTTTGTGGATCAAGTGACAACGTTTATAAGCACAGTTTTGTTCTTACGGCCAGTCTACACGACCGGCTACTGCTGTACATGTAACGTGTACGATTTAGCAATACCAGAAACCCACTCAGATAACTTATTAATGCTAATATTTTTGCAGTAAGAAAAATGAAATTTCATTTTAGTCAGTGTAACACACAGATCCTACTGAGTACAGAGTATTTAGTATACTTAAACCATGTCCTCGGAAACACGCATGCTTACGTGTACGCTAAGCACCCTACCCTCCGTTTACTGTAGTATTCAAATATCAATAACAACATGCATTATGAAAAAGTATTTAATATTTAAACGATGCCGCCTTCGGACTTTGTGCAAATCCCCACATGTAAACTGGGAAACACATGCATTTATTGATGTCAACTACACATTCTAGTTTTAACCAATTGAAGCCACCTTCGCTGCGCTCGGCAGCCAGTAGGAATATTTAAATTATTTTATCCAATGATTTGTCCGGAAAAGCGTGACAGGCACGACAATTTAGTGTGACGGACAGACAGGTTGCTGCAGTAGATGTTTAAGATTCGAGGCCAGTTCACCAGGAGGTGGGTCGAGTGCAGCCACCAGGACACCGGCTTTTCGAAACTAATACCGGTAATTAGACAAGTATGACACTCTCAACTTTAAAAAGCAGTGCATATGTGCTTTATTACGCTAAAACTGAGAGAAATTTCTGTTTGTAGTGTCATCGCAAGAAGTTATACACCCACGTTTTCTAGAGATTACGGAAATCCAGTCAGTTTTTCCTAATTCTAGAGATTACGGAAATCCAGTCAGTTTTTCCTAATTAGCAATGGTTTTAGAGCTATTCGCGCTTAAATAGAGCTAATTCATAAGGTCGAAAACTCTGGCGAGTAGGGTATCGTGCGATTGTTGGTCTAGACTGCCTTTTCATCCGATTTGCTCTGCGTGAGCTTGGACATATTCTTTCTGACATGATTTGTTATAGCTTTAAAAAGGCATCTTGTATCTTATAATTGCTTTAAAGACCTTTTTCTAGCATATAAATTAGTTATTTGACGAGGAATTCGGGCCTTTGACTTGGCCGTTTCTCAGCGCTGATAGCTCTAAAACCATTGCGAATTAGGAGAAAAGGACTAATTTTTCGGAATCAGCACACGATTTACCTCTTATATCCAACTGTCGATATGGCTTTTACGAACCTTAGCTTATCTATGCGATAGAGAAGGTTGACATCTTGCGATGACAATAGTACATGTACAACTTGTACGTGTAATTCAACCTGTACACGGGTACAGTACACGTACATGCAGTTCAGCACAGTCCTTCCAAAACTTGATCGCGTGCATTGTTTATCTGCTTCGAGGTGACGACTTTGGACAGTGTACGGAATCATGTAGTGTACATTAAACTGTCCCTCCAAATTATATACCCCTCACAACACAACTCCCACAATGAAGTCAGAATTTCCACTTTCTTTGATTTTAAGTTTCGCTTCCTCGTTTTAGATCGCCATTTTTAGCAAAAAACTATAATGCCTTTGACTACCCCCTTTGTATCGTGTTTACCACGAACTCACCCGTGTTATCGCAAACTTTTTTTTTATCTCGAGTTGTTTAAGTCATTGTATGTTCGCTACCATTATTGAAAACTTAAGTAATCCTGATGTCTTTGACTTAAACACTTACTTATTAGTAGTCTGATATAATGTTAATCGTGGTTCAGCAATATCGGTTCGAAGTGACCACTCCAATCTGAAGGTGGTGGCGGCCTCTAACCTCGACCTTCTTTCTCATTCTGCAATAGGGGTTATCACGGTTGGAAAGAAAGTATGTTTGGACAGCTAATTGAGTCAATCCTTCATCCGTCAACTGCGAGGGCCAAAATCGTGCAGGTGAAGCTGGAACTACCGCGTATTTAAAACCAACCAAATCAAACCTTCTGACACGGTTTTCTACCAATCATAATTATCCTTCACTGGAGGTTTGCAACCTTCTTCTTTTTCAAGAAATGAAAAAAAAAACGGGACGCGAAGATTTGATTTGATTGGCCGGTCAAACATATTTTCCAACCGTAATAACCCCTAATACAGGCACATTTGTTTTATTGAATAATCCTGGTCGGGACTCATCTGAGAGGGACTTGTATCTAAAACAGAGTGATTTTAAAACATCGACATTGGAGCTGCTAATTGATACACATTTGGACCTAAAAATGACAGTATTTGGAGGTTTTGTCGGATGGTATACTGTACGCACGCCAACCGCCCCTGTCTCGCCTTCAAACGGCAAGGGGGAGGGGTGCGAAGGTGAGACCCACAATTGAGATCGACAATCTTCAAAATAAGCGTTAAACAAGGTATGAATGATTACATGCTTCATTTTGGACCTATTTCACGAGACATTCCTTAAATTGGACAAAAAATCACTTTATATCCTTCAGTACCTCACTGACCTCTCAATAAATAAACATGCCACTTTAAACAGGGTCGTTTTGCAGAAACGAAAATGTTCAGTAAAGGAGACTCAACCAGTGAGGAAGCCACCGCCGCATTCCTACCGCCTATGTTTAGAATGGAGGTCTTCCACACAGCGGATTTTGAATAATCCAAATTGTACGGAGCAATTTCATTAGCAGAAGGAAAATACAAAATACATTCATTTATTTTTTAAATAGTACACGCGAAATTAACACCCAACGATCGTATTTTTGTTTTAGGGCCTGTTACAATGTATGGCTCATTCGTTCTTGAGAGCCAATCACTAAGCAAAAATTGGATGATTGGATAAGGCAAAAAAATCGCCCTGGTTCATGAACTGGTCAGGTCCATGAATTGGTAAACTACGTCAGTCATATCTTATCCTCTCCCAAGTGAAACGGCTAGGGTGGTCACAAATCTACGATTTTGCTAAACATAAAATGATTTTGCTAAACATAAAATGTTCATGGCAGCCGTCCGGAAATATATCCAACTTTACGTGGGCCATCGTTGGGTCCTGGTCGTAACTTGCCCTCTCCGGCACAAAAACACCGGCTCCTTGGAGATACTGAAGAGAGAACTAGGCTACAAGTACATAGCATTTTTTGTCAAACAATAAATTACTACGTGTAGAACGCGTGTATCACGTGAGAAGTCATTAACCCTACAATTGGAATGACCCGCTTAGGTTACTGAAATATACCAGCATCTCCATTTTACCTACAGTATAAAACATTTTCGTGACTTGACTGTCGAGTTGTCGGGCTTAAAACTTTTGTGTGCCATCATTCCAGCTGTTGGCTCAGAACATTTGACGATCACCAGAGTCTGGAGCATAAGCAATGAACTGCAAGAAAGCGACCGCCGATACCGGCGGTAGGCTACCGGTACCGGTATCAAAACCAAGCGTAATACATGTTCGCCAAAGTGCTGGTCCAGCACCCCATCCCGGATTTGATCCTGCCAAAGCCTCGCCTGCTTTCCTATCATAACGTCGCAGGCTCTTTGCGGTTCGTATGTTGTGCGGTTGGCGCCTTGGCCCAAGGCTTGGTTTAAGTATGGGTGAGAATCCGGACCATTATCAAGGGAATTCTGGACACCCAGCAGCACGAGATTTGCCGCCATATTCTGCATTTTTCCGTCTTGGACGCAAGCCAGTTTGCTATTTTCTCTGTGTCTTGCGACTGATCCTGAGACCAAGAAGTGCAGACATGGTGCTCCGAGCGGTTCGGCTGATCGTCCAGGCATCTCTGCTCCTGCAAGTGCTCCAGTGTGGCGCCTCCGTAACTGGTGCTCAAGTAAATGAAAACTTTGAGAACACTGAGCTTACCTCGAACGATAAACTGGGAACAGTGGCTCCGGCCGACATCCCGTCTTCACAAGACGAGAATCTCAAGAAACAGGAAGAGCGTGGCTTCTTTGACTGGTTTGGCAATGGCGACGACACGCCTGCCCCGGCTGCTGACGACAACTCCGGTAAATATGCGACTACGACACCGATCCCTGGCACGGCTGCGCGGCCGTCTACGAGTAGTCTGATGTCAAAGTATGGTAGTATGCTCGGTGACTTTACTAAAGACACGACGCCGGCCTCGGAAGCCGATGAGCGCACAACGAGCGCACGTAGCGCTGCCACCCGTGCCACCTCGGACTCCTCTTCAGGTAGTACCTCTGGCAGCGCGGCAGCAGAAGTCAAGCCGAAGAGAAAGAAGACCAAGAAGCCTGTGGTTGCCGCCGCGTCTGAAAGCGGAGAGAGTGCAAGTGACGACGATGCCAGCGAGGCGAGCGCTTCGGGCAGTGAGGCAAAGCCCAAGAAGAGGACAACCAAGAAGACGAGGAAGCCGGTCGTAGCTGCTGCGTCGACGTCTGAATCCGAGGATGCCTCGACGTCTGAATCCGAGGATGCTTCGGGCAGTGAGGCAAAGCCTAAGAAGAAGACAACCAAGAAGACTAGAAGGCCGGTAGCAGCTGCTGCATCGACGTCTGAATCGGAGGATGCTTCGGGCAGCTCGGACGAGTCGGGAAGCGACGATCTGTCGGATCTGCTCGGCAGCTCGGCGGGTTCCGGAAGCGAAGATGACATGTCGGCCCTTCTCGGTAGCGCGGGAGGTTCCGGGACTGACGACGCCTTATCAGCTCTGCTGGGGTCGGGAGTCGGTGGCTCGGGTAGTATGCTTAGTTTCGAAGACTTTATGAAGAATTACGGTAGCATGTTCGGTTCGGGAAGTAGTGCTGTCGACCTGTTCGGAGACCCGAGCACGCCCCAGAACAACACGATTGACGACGAAGATATCATCCTCGGCGAACTGTACGGTGGCAAGGAGCACGGCGACGCCTTCTCGGACATCAGGAACATCAAGTTTGGTCAGATGATCCTGAACATTACAGTTCGCGGTCAAGAGCGCGTGGATTCCATTGGTATTACAGTGATGACTCAAGAAGCTGTTGGTAACCTTGTGCACGGTGGTGAAGGTGGTACCGAAGGATTCATTGAACCGGAGATGGGTGACACTATTGATACCGTCGAAGTACACTGGGACAAGAACAAGGGCAAGACGTGCATCTTCTACCTCAAGATGGCGACTTCTGGCGGTAAGACGATTGCGACGGGAACGAAGACGGCCAACAGCGCCGTCATCAAGCCGCCCAAGGGCTACCAGCTTGCTGGATTCCATGGTCGTGCCAGTAGTTCTGGTATCTTTTGTATTGGTGGAATCTTCACCAAGCAAGACGCGACGGATCTCGCAGTCACGGACGTGATGGCCATCTCCAGTAAGGGCTCTCCTGATATCTACAACTACGACACCACCATTCGTAACTGGGTGGGACCTCTAGAGACAGCGAGTGACAACGCCTGTTACCAGAAGAGAGTCGACGTCAGCAGCAAGGGAATGTGTCCGTCGGGTTTCAACAAGGACGACGACAGGTGCATCACCCAATGTCCTCTCAACTACCCCATTGACTGCTTGATGGAGTGCATGCCTCAAAACAGTGACTGCACCCAGTTGATTGTCGCTAAGGTTTCCGCCGTCGTTGCTGTCGCTTTAAATGCCGCTACGATGGGTATCTTCGGTACGCTGGTGGCTGCCTACAGAACCGCTAACTTTGCTCTCACCTGCGCCATCAACGTTGTGAACGCTGTCAAGTCGCTGATTTACTACCTGCGTTACAAGCAGACCTTGATCCCGACTACGGACACGGAGAAGTTGATGGACAAGGCGTTCCAGCTGCAGATTGTCATTCTTGACTTGCCTCTGGCTATCTGTTCTTGCCTGGGCATCAAGATTCCTCCTAAGCTCCAGTTCTCGGCTACCATTCTGGCTGTCGTGTCGGCCATTGTCATGATGGCTGTCATGGTCGGTGAGGCCCTCTTCGCGTCGTCGAACAACGTCATGCTCATGCTTCGTGAGTCGGGCGCTTTTAACACTTCTGCTCTGAACGGAGACACCATTGAGCTTGATACGTTCCTCAACACCAAGAACGGCACGTGTGGTTACGAGATGAGAACTCTCACTAACCGCGTCATGGGCAAGGTCTACGAAATCCGTAACAACACGCCGAATGCTGATGCCGATGATGTACGTGTTGAGGTGAGCAAGTCGTCCATCATTACGGATGACATCCCCATTGTGACCAACCACTGCATGGGTGATATCTGGACCAACAAGACGGGCGCGTCGTCGTACAAGACGCGCAACCTGCTGCGTAAGACCCTCAGTGTAATTGTTGACCAGCTCGTTGAGGACGGTACGACCGATATGGGTAAGCATGTGACCAAGAAGGAGAAGGCTCTCGAATACTCGAATATGGGTCTTTTCGTGCTGTCCATGTTCGATCCGACGGGTATTGCCTGGATGGCTTCCGAGTTCGTGCAGCCCATTTGTGGACCCACTGAGTACCTGGGTGAGATCGATGATGGTACGCTGTACGACGCTCTGGGTCTAAACACGGTCGACCAGGCGTTCCTGGGAAGCTACGGTGTGTGGAAGAAGAAGGGTGATGGCTCCGTCACGGTTTACTTCGAGAGTGTTGACAAGTTCCCTGTGTCTGTGGTGATCACGTCCGGTGGTGACAAGCTCAAGGAGGTCAAGGTGCCTGCTAACGGCAACGTCACGTGGACATCTACGGTGGAGGAGCTTGGTGACAAGACTCTTTACCTTGACCGCTGGCGTCCTGGTCTCTTTGGCCTGCCTGGTACGGGCGGTGGTTCGCTACTGATGTGGATCCCGCGATCGTCTGAGGGTGGCCAGCTTGTTCTTCATGCTCGCTTGAATGTTAGCTAAGCGGATCCATCAAGTCATTTAGCGTAGTGGTACTTCTCGGAAGATAGGAGAAAGTTTGTCCACTTGTTTAAACGAATACACCAGATTATGTTGTCATGCGTTACATGTACTGCTCCCTTTTTTATGCAATACTAAGGACTAAAGAAATGAGCTCATTTTTAAATTGTTGGAATGCAAAGTACTAGCACTAAGTAAATAAACGAGCGTTGACAAAAAAGTATTATTGCTAAATCAGATACCGATTCAAACTGATACTTCTGAAGTAGATATTAGTAGCACTTAAGTACGACGTTTATTCATACTTAGTATTGCTGAGGAAAGTCTTCGGATCGAAGAACTGAGTAGAAAGCGTGTAATATTCACTTGTTAATATACAATTGGACAGAAAGGATGCTAAAGGAAGTATTTGTTTTCTACAGGGCCTCGGGGTCCACTACGAGCCACATCAAAACGGGTATTGAGGCGTTAGTAATGCTCAAAACTGGACCACCCGTACGAGCTTTGAGCCGCCTGTTTCTCTAGCTGTCGCCACCATGTTAAACGACATCAAGTAGCTTTTAGCAACCAAGGAAACGACCAATTTGTTCTAGCTAATCATTTCAGTCTGAAATAATTTGGCGATGTCATTCGGGGATGGATGTGATGTCTAGTTATAAGGAAAAAGAAACACTACATTATGAGCCTTCCTGTCACTTGTCTCGCAGCAAAACACCCTTAAAAGCTCCGGAGCTATGAGCTGACCTAGAGCAACCTAAACGGTGAGCTCCAGGACTCCCGATAATGGCATTGATCGTATTTCAAATTTCGAGGCTTTTTTGCATTATTGATCAGTGTTCTCGGCGTTCACGAGCAAGTATGAGGGACAAAGTAAATTGCAAAGTGATTAAATATAAAGAGATTGATACCTGGCACTAATCCTGCTGTGTCCTTGTCTGTTTGCTCCTTGGTGAGGGCTTGCACAGCCTCTCCTTGGAGCACCATGGACTTCGGCTACATCTCGTGCGTCCAAATATATGATCCCAGACTTGATATCTCACCAGCTGGTCCATCTTCACTGGGGGATCATCAAGCCACACGGAAACCCTTGGGCTTTAGCTTCGTTCTCCGCTTTCAGCCTAGGATCTCAGGCTTTGTATCTCACCCGCTGGTCCATCGCCACTGGGGAGCCACCAAGCACTGCATACACGCAAACTTGGTGATTAGTAATGATCACGCCTGTTCGCCACCTGATGGGGGGCATCATATCAGCTGGCGGCTGATTCTCCCCCCCCTCTCCCCCCACGAGAGCGTCGGCGGCGGCGTTGCGGCTGGCTTGGGCGTGCTTGCGCCTCCAGCATCGCCACGACATCGAGTTTATTGTGGTACGCCTCACAGTAGCGCTCGAGTAGGACTGGAACGTCTGAAGAAAGTGACGAGTAGCTCTCCCACGTATTTTCGAGCTCTTCGGGACCGAGCCATTTGACCTCGACCTTCCATTGCCGAGCACTGGAATTGAGTCGTACACCTCGGAACGCTTCGACACAGTGCCCTCCCTGCGAATGCAGCGCGTACTGCAACAGATCTTCCGTGACCTATTGGTCCGCCTCCGCGTAGAGCCGAATTTGGGAGACATGGTGTGTTGTGATGCGTTGGGGTGGATAAAGGTCCTCGACCTCGAAGATCCACGCGGTGACTGCTCGAACAATCCGCTTAGGTCCTTGCCCCTTGATCGCCAGCTTGTTGGCCAAAGGAAGCATTCCCTGCCACCAAAATAAAGTCGTCAACAGCGAAATTGGGCGGCTTGGACCGGGCAGCTCGGCGTGTTCGCGCCTGAATACGCCGTTGGTCACTGGTGTTCGCCACCTCATGATGCATTTCTTCCAGAGCACGTGCCATTTCGGTCAGGTGTGGCTGCAAAGAATCTCAGCGTCCATCGAAACGACCTTGTTTTATCAGTAAACATTGTCGCGAGCGGGGTCACCACAGGCAGACCTGTGAGCGCAGTGAGCGGGGCGATACCACCGAGTCGATCGGAAGCTTGCTGGTTCAGGGCGCCTTGAGCTAGCCCGAGCACGCCTGACCACTTGGACGGTGCCATCCTGCGCTCGCCAAGAATTGCACGCATGCACTTCAGGAGAAGTCGGTTCACGTCTTCGATTGTCCCGTTCGCCCAGGGGCAATATGCTGTTGTGAAGAGATGATTAGCTCCCACCGCAGCTGCGATCTGCTCGATCACCTGGTTCAGGAAATGAGTACCTTGATCCGAAACCCACTGCGGCACCACACCATGGCGGTTGAACCACGCAAGTAGAACCACAGCACACGCGCTAGCGTCCGCTGCTTCACTCGAATACAGCTCCACAAAGCCGCTGAAGTCGTCTTTCATCGCCAACACGTATTTGAAGCCAGTGTCTTCGTCCACCAGCAGCGAGATAAAATCAAAGTGTAGGACCTCGTTAGGCTTTGTTGCATGGATCGCTGGTCCAAACGGTCGAGGTTCTAGTCAGTTCCGGGTGGCTACACAATGTAAACAGTCTTGTACGAAGCGAGTGACATCGGCGCTCAGTGTGCGCCACCAGCACTAGTTTGCGATCGCTTCCATAGTGGTTTTAGCGCCACGGTGGCCGCTACCACCAGCTTGACAAATGCGATGGATGAGGTCCGTTGACACCTCCGGTATCCACAGCAGGTTTCCACTCAGCACAAAGCACTCTTGTTCGTCGCCCCACTGCACCTGGGCAGGATGGCCATCTTGCTCATGCTGAATCGTGCGGATCTAGTCCATGGTCGGCCTGTTGAACTCGGACGAAGCCAGCGGCGAGATAGGCGGGACAACAACAACTTGGTTGACATTAGCAGCGATGCCTTCACGTTGGTGACACCACAGCCCCAACGACTCAGCATATCAGCCCATACATTATCGGCTCCCTTGACATGCTTGATCACGGATTTGTACGAAGTCATGTCCATGGACCATCGCTGAAGCTTGTCAGCCTGGTAGCGCTGCATCGGACCGTCAGTTGCGGACAAGTTGAGCATGTACACGAGGTTACGATGGTCCGTAAACGAGTGGAAGCCACCAAGTCGCAAAAGCAGGTACTTCAAGCGCTTCGCCGCCTTAACAATCGCGAAGGCCTCCTTCTCAATTGTCGGCCAGCATAATTGAGCACCCGTAAATTTGCCACTGAGAAATGCTAGGGGCTTGTGATTTTGTTGGTCGGGCGGTTTCGCCAAGTCTCCTTCATCCACTGCAGTACAGACGGCCGCCCAGAAGTCTTGCGACGCATCGATGTACAAGGCGACGGCGGTGTTCAGGTCGGGATGTGCAAGCGGAACCATGGCAAGTAGTGCGTTGCGGAGCTGCTGAAGAGCCTCTGTATGTTGAAGTCTCCACCCTAGCTCCACGAGAGAAATGCGGCCCAGCTGCTTTGACCTCCGCTTACCTGTACGCTTGGCCGCGTCGTCCATCACACGCAGCAACGGGTCCACTAACTCACTGTAGCCGGCGATGTTCTGCTGCATCCAGTTTGTGGCACAAAGGAATTGCTGGAGCTGCCCAGCATTTACCGGATCGGGAAGGAGACCAGTCCTTGCACTCGAGACGGGCGGTGCTTCACACCTTCAGCGCTCATGAGCTTTCCGCACAAACGTGCCTCAAGAAGGAAGAAATGACACTTGCCTCGGTGTAGCTTGAGTCCGAAAGGCTTACAGGCCGCCAACACGCGTTCCAACACGTCACGTGGTCCTCTGCGTGCCCCCAAAATGACATCCAGCCCCGCCAGGATACCATGATAGAGGAGTGGTTAGAATACCTCCTCCACCACATGCTGACAATACGCCACCGAGTCCGTGCCTCCCATGAGAACGCGCGTGGGCGTGATTATCCCACGGTGCGTCACAATAGAGAGCATCTCCTGCGAGTCGGGATGCAGCGGAAGCTGCCAGTAACCCCGAAACCAGTCGAGCGTAAAGCAGCACGTCGTGCCTTCCAGCCGTCCCAGGGCCGCATCGAGTATGGGCATCGGCCACTGGATGGGACCCGTTCGCTCATTCACTCGCCTTGTGTCCACCGTCATCCGATAGGTTCCCGGCGTGCTCTTCGATACAATCCGAGGTGGTGACGCCCAACGGCTACGCGAGTTTACATACACCAGTCCCGCATCGAGTAGTTCATCGACGTGCTGCTATAAATACTCCATGTGAGCCGGCGGATACCGGCGTGCATTGGTACGCACAGGAGTAGCTTCTTAACGGAGGCACACGCGCAGCGGTTCTACCCGCACTGGGGGATCATGACCGAAGGAAGTCCGGAAGACATCTTGATACTCCAGTAATAGCAGCCTCAGTTGTTCGACCTCAGCTTCCCCCAGACCGGCGAGGGCAGCTTCTTCCACGCGCTCCTGTAAGATCGCAGCGACCTGGTCACCTTGTTTTCCATCCAGCTCCGGCATAGCAGCTCTCAAGTCCGTTGCGTCGAGACGGGCTGGGTCCGAGAGAGAATTATCACGAATGAGGCAGATTGACGCGCTCCCTTCTCCGCCACCTAGCTCCTGCAAATCCCACTCCTGCTATGTGTCACACGCTCGGGCCAGAATAGCATCAGCCGGATACCCGAGGTGCTATATTACGGGTCTCGACAGGACCAGCACGGGCTTGCTCGTTTCTTCTTCAAACACCCATGCCCGCGTATTGCGACGAAGCAAGGGGCCTGCCCTCGTGCGAAGCTGAATCACATTGAAGATAACAAGCTGCGTCACGTCGAAGCAGCTGCCATCATACGAAGCCAACTGCCGAGACGGACACTGCGCCTCTCGCACTGCAGCCCCACTCCGCAGCAATTGTTCAACCAAACCGCGGCTCGCCACATTCACGCCCGCCCCGGAATCCAGCAGGGCATCATGAATGTCGAGAACATTCTATACCCTAGTCATGCATGCGCTGCTCGGCTCGATCGGAGTTTCGTCGCGGCGAAGCGCTTTGACAGCGTGTACAGGGGCCCATCCCTTCGCCTGCGCCATGGG